AGAATCTCCCTATTACAGGTATCACCTGTTTTACTTGAGAGCAGCCATCCAAAAGTTAGATGTTCAGCATAAGCTGCTGATCTAGAATACTTTTCCTGTCAGTGGGACAGGAGCACACATCTGGAGGATGATTCTTCACATCCCTAGGTGGTAAAAATAAGCAACATCCTGCATGTGACCCTCTCTCACTGACCAGAGTCTTTCTCCTGATGTAAAACATTTTTTCAAAAGACTCATTATATGCCAAGTTGACTACAGATGGAATCTGTAAAAAAAGACTCATTGAAAGATATGCTGAACTATGTCTTAGATGAATAAAAATAGACAAAATTAATACCATAAAAGTCCAGCTCTAATTTTTTTATAGAAATTACCCAATTGGCTTTGACTGGGTTTTGCTTCAGAGTGCCATAATTCTACTGCTGAAACTTCCAGTTGTGTCTACTACCCTGCAATAAAAAGTGAAGATGATTTTTAGAAGGGAATAACAAAAATGTTAGACCTACAAAAAATCAAAAAGTTCTAATACTTAAGTAAGCAAGTACACTTATAGGGGAATTATACAATGAAATAAATAAGGACATTCTAGTTTGAGAACGGCAGCACAACACCTGTATTTTGCGCATTAGCATTTCAGTTATGATGATTCAGAAATGGACAATATCTACAAGTAGTCATCAGGGGTCTGATTACAAGCACTTGGATGACTAAGTTCCCTGTGGGATTAGTCCTAAATAGGTAGTCCTCAGTTTGTGAAGTTTACCACACACAACAAGGGTATTTTCCTTTTGAAATTCTGTCTTGATGCAAGGATTTTTAGTCAGTTTCACTGCAACATCAGCAGTAAGTCAGAAATTGCACACAAGCCTGGACATGACATATGACATTTGAACTCTACATTAGCCATGTGCATGAGTTAGTTAAAAAAGATAACACTTATAGTGTCTATAAGAGTATCATGTTTTATAACAAAAATGGTTTCCTTGTTTAAAAAAAGGGAAACCTACCTTCGCTACTACGTTATCCTTATGATTCATTATTAAGTGTTACCTTGTAACATTCAAATTCAATGAAAATGTCTTTCAAGTGCAGAATCCTCCAGTTGTGTTACTATGCTTATGGTTTCAAAGGTCTTTTTTCCCTTTCTTCTCTTCACAGGAAATGATCTATTTCTAGTTGCAGTGCATGAACTGGGACATGCTCTGGGCTTGGAGCACTCTAATGATCCCACTGCAATCATGGCTCCATTTTATCAATATATGGAAACTGACAACTTCAAATTACCTAATGATGATTTACAAGGCATTCAGAAGATATACGGTATGTCATACTCTCATTAAGCAATCTAAGTTTTTTGCTCTAGAATACGTTTGAGGTCCTCCTGTCCATACTACCTCTCCAAGAAAGTTTGTTAGTGTATATTCTGCCAGCTGTTATGCCAAAGGCCATTTTGTGAGTAAGCCAGAGACTTTGAGGAAGCTCTTATACTTTATTTCTCACTGTTCACAACTTGCATTCAAATTTTCAATCAGCTGGAATAGTAAGTTAAAATGTTTTAAGAAGCAGTAAAGACTGTATCAGCAAAAGGATCCCAAATTGTGGAACTATTAAGAAATGCAGGCTTTTAACCATAATGAGTAGTAGTCCAAGCTTGTGTAACTGGATTAATTGATTGCTTCCTTGTTTATCAGTTTCCTGGGTGTACAAAATGTGGTCCCAGAAAAAGCCTTTCGTGTGATAAATATAGCAAACTGATCTGAAAAGAATGCTATTACCAGTCCAAGATTTTGAGCTTCCTAAAGGGAAAAAAACCCCACTTTTTTAATATGTGTTTGTTTAGAGTTTTTTGTGTCCTGATATGAGAATAATGTAATGTAAATAAATTCGACATCTATTGAATTCAATTTGACAAGGTGAGGTAATTGAAAATTAAAAAAAAAACAAAATAACATTATTCTTACTAGGAGTTGAATGTAACACTAACGCCCATATTACTATTCCTTACGTTTCCAAAGACATGGTTTTGTTTTTGTTTTTAAAGACTTCAGTTCTGTTGATATCTGTTAAATAGTCTGGGGTTTTTTTCTGTGGTATCTCTATGTTAATGCTATGTATCTGGTACATATCATTTGGAATTGCCTTGCTTAATATTCCCCAATTAATTCTGTATTGCATTAAATTTTTTACTCATAATATTTTCATTTGAAAGGTTTTCCATGTTTATATTGAATATTACCAGGGCTATTCCTTGTTTAACATCACTACTAGAAAGGACAGCTATGATCATGTAGAATTACTGTACTGCTAACTAGAACTCTGCAGCCTCCATGATGTTTTGTATTAACAAACTTTTTAAAGTATTGCTTAACAAGCACTGATGTATATTTTCATAAAGCATAAATAGCAATTTCAAAATTATTGGCTAATCAAGTTTTGTTTGGTTGTTTTATTTTTCCTATGCAATTAGATGGAGGGAAGGTTGTTTCTCATGACCTCATAAGTTGGTAGTCTAGACTTAAGGGCTAGACAAGAATTCTGTGCTGAAAACTAACTGCTAAGCTCTAACAGCTGTGGGCTATACATTAGGAGAAATGTGTTACCCCTGGGAAGTAATATCTAATATCACCACCAAATGGCATATGAAAGCTTTGGTTTGGGGTTAAAAACTTTCCAACATTAGCTACTGCAAACTGATTCCTTTGCTCCCTTTAAAATCAAGAGGTGATCTGGAATCATATGCCTCAGTAAAAATGTCACACCTATTAAAATAATTACTTTGGTCTGCAGTATTCCTTGAAACACCTTTATTAGCTGTAAATTATAAATGTCACAAGCCTTAAAATTGTGAGTGAAATAGATACCTTATTAAATTGCATGATGACCATTTAGAGAGTTTAATATTTCCTTACATAGTCCATCTTGTTTTTTAAAAAGGTTTGATTTTCTTTTAATGTATCAGAAATTCAAATGCCATTTATGCAGTTTTACAGTTGTCTTAATATTCAAAAGTCTTTCTGAAACTGTTCATACAAATGATATTTATTTTTTAAAGTCAAAATTGATAATGTATTTAAATGATTTGGAAAGAGGCCTAAATGGAATGAGCAAAATTAAGGTGTTCATCTTATTTCTAGAAATCTTACTGATCCAACTGAAACTTCTTATGTTTTGTACATGGAAAATATAAGTAAACATAATAATGTGTAGAAAGGGAAAGGCATTATCAGAACAACCGTTGCAAGTCATTTAGTGTGCTGTTGGGGTTATGAACAGCATCTGTCTAGGATGGCCTTTTGACTCGCAGGTAGAGAAATTATGAGTGGGATAGTTATTTCACTTGTCATCAAACTCTGTATATTATGACAGAAAATGTACTTGAAAAAAGAAAAATATTTTAAAAATATGGATGCCTAGAATTTGAAGTCCAGTTTCAATAGCTTCTGTACATAGCAAGGGGCATTGAGGAGAGCTGGGAATGTGCTGTCACTAATGCACATAACATTATTTGCCCTACAAATTGGGTCAGTAGAAAATATCAAGTATGCTACATACATGTATATGTGAATTGATGAGTGAAAGTTAAAAATATGAGTTGAAAATCCACTGACTCCTGATGATCCTGTTAGGAACAGGTTTTTTGTTTTCCTTTATTTTGTACAGTAGGCAGTGATTCTGTTTTAACAGTTCTTACCCAAGTTGGTAAAGTATGTGCTACAAACCACGTCTCATCTAAAATGGTGGTGGACTATGCATCCTTTGCAGGTTTTATTCGAACGTTATTCCAATAAGGAAGGAAGATTCTGGATAGAGAAAAGTAATTTTCCTTGGGTTCGGTAGTTGTTTGTTATACCCTTTAACAAGACAGGAAAAGTGTGTTAGGTCACTTTTTCCATTCTCCTTTCACTGTAGGATTTGCACTGCTTACAGCAGGTTTTTGTTGTGTATTTCTTTTAAGTGCCTCTGGTGGGCATTTAAATTACATCCTGCTGCTATATTTGTAAAGGTCCACCTGACAGGATCCCCTCACCAACAAGACCTCTGCCAACAGTGCCCCCACATCGTTCAATCCCTCCAGCAGACCCGCGGAAGAATGACAGGCAACCTAAACCTCCCCGGCCACCCACTGGTGACAAACCTTCCTATCCCGGAGCCAAGCCTAACATCTGTGATGGGAACTTCAACACTCTGGCTATTCTTCGCCGGGAAATGTTTGTTTTCAAGGTAGGGGGCTGTGAATTTTTCAATGTTGCATCAAATGTCTACATTTCTCCTTTTCTTTTTTTAAAAGCAAACTCTCAATCGTCATGACTCCACTTTCTCAGGCTGCTCACAGTCAGAAAGTTCAGGAAAGAAATTAAAAAATAAACATGCACATGGTTTCAGTGTCTAGCAAAGGACTGCTGTAATGTTCTATTTTGAGAAAACACCTATGTCAGCAGAAAGTGTAATGCCTCAAAATGCAAGGGTAAATAAATGCTGCATGTTATGGAGAGATAAAAAGTTTAAATCAGTCATGAATAATAGGAATGATTTTGCTGGGAATACAGCCACATCCAGAAATACAGTAGATATTGTGTCTTCAATGCCTCATTTTTTTTCCATAGAGCTATAATTTTAACTTTACAATTAGATCTGTCATTTACAAAGGAAGTTTGTCATTGTGTTGTGGTTGCCTTGAAACCACAATATCTCAGTAAAGGTCTTTGCCACAAAAATCTTATTGCATATGTGTCATTGTTTATTTCCATTTGTCTTCCTGCTCTGAGCTGAATATGTGGTATATACACCAAATTAAAATAAACAAATGGAACTGAAAGGCATTGATAGAAGGACTTTGCTAAGACTCACGGACATCAAAGCTATTTTAGGATGATGATCTGCAATATGTTTTCCAGAAGGCATTGAATGGTGACGAATAATTAAGAGTCCTTATTATTCAGCCTCTTAAACGAATTTGCTGACAGGTAGTGCTGCAGAAATGTTCCAGAAAAAGGCAACAGGATAATCTGTTATTTTGAACTACTAGTGTGTCAAATTTGCTTAAGCAACACAAAGTGGGATCTTTGTTTTGTACATACGTGATATGATTCTTCTTAACTTCCGCATCATAGGTAGAGAAGAAGGGCCTTTCACATGAATAAATACTTTTCCCTTCAGCAATAGTGTAAGCATTAGGGAAGTACAATGAATTTGTCCGAAAACATGAAGCTCCCAATTCAATGTCTTTTGTTGTCCTTTCTAATAGGACCCCTTTCACCCTTACATGTTTTGGTTTTATGTAATCTATCACTCCAGATAAATCTTATTAGCAATGCTACCCAGGCTTTCACTTTCTTTCGCATACCTGAAAAAATATGTACAAATAGCTTTACATGAATTCATTCAAAATTATTACACTACCTTCACAACCCAGTGGACAGGAAACATTTTATTTTATAAACAGCTAAGGATTTTGATGGCCCTGGGGCATTTAGCCCTTTACAATTGAACACATGGGAAATCTTCAAATACTGGGAGGTCCTGAACCATCGGTCTTTTTATGACTAAAACTCAAAGGTTAAGGAAGAATCTAATTTTCTAACTTGACATTAAACAGGATATTAAAATACCTACTTCAATCTCATGTCATCCACCTCAAGAGCACTAGAGCATATTCTCATTTATTTTAGACATAAATGGATAAATAGTGAAATATTATCCCACTAGCACAAAATTTCCTGTCTAGCCAAGTTGGTGTTCCTGGATGAATAAATTCATCACCAGTATTAATCCCTTTTACCTATTCTGACTGAAAATACAAGGAAGTTTTCTCCAAAAATATTTACTTTTTACTGCCTTAACACTTCATATTTACTATACTGTTTGTATGCTTACTAGTGTGCAAACTACATTTATATTCCAAAATTAAAACTCCATTCATGATCCACAGCCTAATGAGGAAACGTGGGAAAACTTTGTCAGAGAAAAATGACCAGTAACAGAGTGTTAACAGATTTCATGTTTACAGTCTGACTTTCCAAAATAAGATTGCTGCAGTCATAAAAGCAACATGTCGGGAAGAGAAGAAATAGAACACCTTTGTCCAGATTAATTTCTTTAAGAATGTTCTTAAGTTCTTAAAGTTCTCCTTTAAAGTTCTCCTTTTCTCCTCAGGGTACCTGGGAGCATGGCAAAGCATGACTTGGATTAGCATGCTAAGCAACAGAGTTTACTTATGTATATGTACAAATCTTGAATTTGTAGTGTGACTTGTCTTTGAGTGCTTGAGTTGGTAGGCCTTAACTTTCTGGTTTGTACATTAACGTACCGATGATTTTTGTCTGGTGAAGGAGTTTCATTACCTGTTTGAGAATATTGTTTTTCTTGGGGGTGTGGGGCTGGTGTATGGGGAGGAGTATGAAAGGACAGAAAAGGGAAGAAGGAATTAAAGATGTCAGGGGCTGTTACTGATTTCCAACTTACTTTGTGGAACCTCGGGCAGCAGGTTATAAGGAAATGTTCCACATGTCACACTATAGCAGAAGCAGGGCAGAAATTAGTTCTCAGAAGGTATAAACAGGAATAGGGACTGAATACAGGAAAAGCATCCAGCTGTGGAGGAAGTGAAACTGGAGGTTCTGTAGCCGAACAAAATTAAAAAAGCAAACCTTTTTGCACTTGCCCCTTAATGATAGAACAAGGATATATTGGGAAATGATGGGCGGAGAGCCAAGTACACAGAGGTGAAGAAGAAAAGGGGATTGATGGCAATATTGTACCAGGTGGAAACAATTAAAGAAGAATTATGACCTTCATTGGGAGAATTATTGCTGGATAGTTCCCAGATGAGTTAAATTAATAAAGTTGGAGGCTAATCAAATGATATCCTTTTCTTTCTTTGTCTTTATCCACAGGTCTTTAATGGTTGTGTAGTGGCAGATTTTACTGCCTTCTGAATGGCGTGTGTGCCATGTACCAATTTCAAATAGAAAATAGACACTTCTTTATCTCATGGGCAGGTCTCAAGCTCAGGAACTCAATTTGTTCAAATAATCCTTGAAATTGCTTGGGAACTTAGCCATGGAGTTGAAGAATGTGAGCCTTTTTTAATAATTAAATTCTAATCTAAACATAAAAATGAAGTGCGAAAGATAACAGTTTAAGATACACTGTGGATTTTCATAAAAGACAGAAAACAACATTAATTTCAGGAGGATTGTTTTCTCTTGGCTGTTGAGCTATTAGGTATACTTAAGAGTATCAGAATGTTAGAAACAGTGTCTATGTTGAGTCAAACTGATAAGCTTTGTCTGTGGTTTTAAGACTATCTGGCATTCTTGAATGGGTGTATCCAAAGTAAAACTGAAAAACAGTGAACTTAAAGGAAAAATGGGATTTACACTTATACATCCCTTTTTTATTGTTTTGCCATCACTTTGACAAATTACCAGTCCTACTGATACTTGATAAAAATTGCACGGTTATAGAAATTAAATAAAGAGGAACTGTTCTTGATGTAATATGAACAGTAAACCCAAAAGTAAAGCAATCAAGTTGTTAAAGATACCCCAAAGGCCACCAAATAAAATGAAAATTTGGTGGATCTATTGTTTTGGTAGAAATTATTGGATTTTAAGGAAAGCAAAACTATTTGTCACCAAATATACTGGATTTCTGACATATAAATTTAATCTCTTAAAGGGACTTCTTCCTGAATTCTCTTAAAGGGACTTCTTCCTGAATTCTTTAAATTCTATCTGTAAGGCTTGGGGACACAGTATGCTATAGAAGAAAAATATTAGTTAAAATCAAAATATTGTAGCTATTGTTTTCAGTTGTCATCCACTGTTAAAGTGTATGAAATTTGTCTTAGTTGAATGCATTTTTTTAAATAACTGCTATTATTTAATACGTTTGAACAGCTATAAGCAACCATCAGTATAGAAGAATTTCTGTGCCAGAATTAATGAGTGCCAAGTTTTTATCCTGGGATTCCAGTTAGATTCTGTATTTATGCTGAATGCAATTAGTATTTAGCTGTCACACTCATTTCCAGTCTTTTATCCAGCTATTTTCTCCTTCTGTTTAGTTAGAACTCCCCTGGGACACAGAAACTGGTGAAAACCAAATTGGTCTTCCTTTTCTGGGAAAGTTGTGCAAAGTGGCATGACACTGTCTGCCTTTAATGGAGAAACCTCTCAGCCATTGTATATAGCAATATGTGGTGTCTGACAATACTGTCTTCTTCTTGAAGACTCCTGAGAGTACCTCCAGGGCTACTGCATCATGAAAAGGAACCCCATTGTCTAAGGTCATCAGAAGAGATCCATTAGCGAGGGTGTTTACAGCATATATTTCTACTTTCTTCCTGTGTTCCGTGCAGTTCACACTGCTTTTCCAGTCTTCTGAAGCAAAACAGTTTTGAAGATAATCTCGAATGTTCTATCAATAAAGGGACTTAAGTTAACACCTTCTGAATCTTTTACACAGTTAAAAAAAAATGTTGGTCGAAGAGAGCCAGTGATTGCACAGAATGTATTGTCTCTCAAAGGGTGCAGATCAAGTAATAGTGGTTGCTTATTCTGTTATTTTTGAGGTGTGTATAGCTTCTGTTTGACTCTGCATGCTGATTGTTCCTTGGCAACAAAATTACCTCTAGCTCTGTTTCAGCAATCTATGTTATTGTTGTTAATATCCTTTTTTCTTTATGTCCTTTTCAGTTTCACAGATTTTAACAAAATACTTAGATTTTTGAACTGGTTATATCTAGAAAAGGAAGCACTAAGTGTGTGGAACTTGTTCTACAAGCAAGTTAGAGGGACGAGTCACTGCTCTTTATGCGGCACAAGTTTTTGCCTCAGAACTTCCCAGAGAGGTTACAGTGGCCCTTTCTTTTTTTGATGCTAAATCTTTAAGAAACAAATGAATGGATCCTGTATAATCTAGTGAATTTAGTATTCATGTTGGAAAAGTTGACTCACTCCTAGAAGAGCATTTTTAGACACTGTGGTATACTAAGGTGTTTGTTGAAATGTAAGTGTAAGAGAAAGAAGCTTGTCCATTAGACAAATAGCATTTACAACTGAGAGAAATGTCTTCTGAAATGTTAACATTACAGATGGTAGAATATGGAACTAATTTTAGGAGGCCTTAACAGGCTGTGTTTTACTATTTTATAGTAATTTCTCCACAACTTGCAGAAATTTGTTTTCTGACTCTTCATCTGCTAAGAACCATTGTAA